TATATATATTATAATGATGAAAATATACACACCAAAAAAAGAAATAAAAATAGTAAAAATAAAATACGGGATTCAGCAATAAGTTGACTTAATTTTTACTATATATATGGGTGTGTGTATGTTTGGTGTGGGATGTACATATTACCCTGCATTCCAAATCCAGTAGCATAGCACACATCATTTTCTGTAAATTGGTTGTAACTCTCGGAAATACATGCCGGACGAATGTAATTTGTAAATGGTACTGGCCTAGACAACTTCATTAGCACAAAGTCGTTTAAATCAACCGTATCAAAAACCTCATATCCTGGATAAAAGTAAACTAAGGATACTGGTATGATGAGGTGGTTGGCCGAGAAATTCTGATTTGTATTACTTCCAAACATAACACTTACATCTGCAAGTGCTCCAAAAACTAATCTGAAAAAAAAATGTCATTTTAAGAATTATTTCTAATACTGTAAAAAATACATATACAAAATAATGGCGCAGTGACAAATTTTGTTGCGATTTTACTTGTCGCATATTAAGACAGTCATGCCACACCTATGGCAATTGCCAGTCGATTTTTAGTATGACCACTGGAGGCGCGCAAAAAACCTATGTAGGCCCATATCTTGGATTACACTAGAGCAAAAGCGCCTCTTGTAGTCACAGCAGTCAATGCACTTCCTAAACGCGTACAGCACTTCTGCAAACGCAACTGTAAATGTTTTATATATATTATACTCTATTCTCAATCCAAGGGTTTTTACACTTAAATCTTGAATTCTTTTGTTTATTTAATTTCAATCATATTCTATACTTTCCAAATTATAATACAGTTAAAATATTTACAGTCTCAATTTCTAATCAAGTTTATAAAATCTTCAAACATTAAGTTACAGTTTTACCTCCGAATTTAACACTATTTTTAACGGTAACTGAATTTCTTGTATTTTAAATTACATTTTAACTGTATTTAAATGTTGTTTGGAGGAATTCTGCTGTGAACCTGCGAGTATCAGAAATCAGGTGATGAAATGTTTAGTTTTAAGAGAATGATTATTCATGTATCATTTCGTATTTTATGGTTTTATGTGAACGCACAGCAAAGCGACGTGCGCCACTAATTTCATTTTTTTAAAAATTTTTATTAATTACAAATGCCACGGTTTTGCTTCATTCAACTCACAGTCGCAAGGTGCATTCACACCGAATCAAAATTTTCAGATCGGAAGGGCTACAGAATTAATCAGAAATCGGATCAGATGTAAGAATAGGGGTGATGTGGTTCAGTGCATGTGGTTTCGAGTCGGAATCATTATAAATGCAGCTTTTCGCAATAGGAATGGACAATAGTAAAACAGCTATGGCTTCCGGTTTGAGCATTGCATTTGCATTTCAAGCGTACCGCCAAACAAGCTAATGATGCACAAGTTGTATAACGAAGGTTGACGTATGCAAGCAAGCTAAGAATACAATCATTTCTTCTAATAAGGTAATTTAGTAATATTCTTATTTTACTCAATTTAACAGAACAGAAAAAATAAATAAAAATAAAAACAAGCGGAGGAGCAGGGGCGTAGGCTGGTTTGAACCCGATGAGGTGAAAATTCAGAATTAAGAACTGGGGGTGAGAAAATTAAGGAAGCGGAACTATATTCATATTCCAATGAAAACTTAATGGTCATTTTTAGTATTTTACCTCAGTGGAACTAAGTTGCTGCTATGCGGAAGAGGGTCAGATAACAAAGGAACTTTCCATTAATCATACGGTTTCATTTGCACAAAACAGAAACAATGGTCATAAACAGTAAGCATTTAATATACAAATTCTACTCAATATTAGCTACGTATTTCAATTGGCAGAATTTTGTAAGCTATCAAGATTTACATGACATAAGAAAACAAAATGGTACTTACGAAAAGCAATGTGCTGCTGAAATTACCCATAATTCATTGATTAGGGTACATCCACACATTTTTTTATTATACTCGAAGATGAGACCTTGCCATGGCCAGCTACCAGGCAGAGGTTCCGATCCACCGATTATCCTTTTGGTACGTATGCCCGAGTGAAGAGGTCTTTGGCCGCAAGAGAAACCTATACAACTGACACGTATTTTTGAGTATTCGTTGCAAGTGTTATATATATAATGTTAAGTAGTCAAATACAGTATTACATATTTTTTCCTCCATTCTTCTCACCTACACTTTGCAAAATTGGCATAATAGTATTCTTACATATAAAAGATATTATATTTTATAATATATATATATGCTTGACAAAGGTTGATAACCGAAAACGTTTGCTCACTTAAATAAATTATATATCTGGCAACTTATTACCATCTCTCCAGAGTTTTTATTTTTTCTATCTTGTTTGCCAATGCAGCCCTCCAGTTATATATATATATATATATATATATATATATATATACATATATATATACATATATATATA